AGTTCAAACATTTATATACAATTCTAATAGAACAATATAGCATGTAACAAATCAACTGGCCTAATAAACTAAAACAAAATTCAATGCTAGCAACCTAAAAAATTCCTTCAACTTATAACAAAACTCCTTATAATATTACTTATTCCATAGCAAGGCTACAAATTTCTTCCAAGTATCCATATTTACATGTGATAATTCCGTGAGCTGCTCGTAGAAAGGTTTCGGCTTATATAGAGGGCATGCTAAAACTCATAAGAAACACCATAAACCGAGGAAATAAGAGAATTTTGTGAAAACTTTCAACAGAACCATAAATTCTCACCTTTTTCAACCCACACTATATTTTTAGTCGAGTCCTCAGAGGTTAAATTCAACGTGTTAAGCTGGAACGTGATGAGGTCAACCTTGCCATCCACAAGCTGGACTCCTTTGACCACCTAAACAGGACCGAATTAGGCATGACATAATATTAGCTTTCAAAAGTACTACCAAGATCCAACAGAAGCTAGAAACGTAATCGATAGTGTAACAATGTTACTGAAACCAAACATACCACAGGATCCTTCTTCAAATCCCTTGACGAATTCCTTCTTGTCGCCTCCGCCACTGCCGCTCCAAAAGTATGCATCACTGCGTTTGCAGCATTTTGTTCTCTGAAGCATCACCATCAATTATCAACATGAACATGGGGATCAAAATTTCGCGAATGGAGAGAAAAAGCAATTATTCATCCAATCGGAGTAGGACTAAGGAAAATTATGAAACACAAATTTTTAAAACGATAACCAAGTTTTGGCGACTCACTTGGTCCACGGATACTTCTGATCTTGTTCTCGCGACCATAGTATTGCATGCAGTGCTAGTGAAGTATTAGGTCGAGCAATCACAGCTTTGTCATTGTAGATGTGATCTGACCCCAAGTCGATCAATGGAGACAGAGGTGCAATGTCTGGTAGATGTAGTTGGCTAGACATACACATGATTAATTTCGTATGTTTATCCAACTAAAAAGCTAATGCACTCCTAGCTGAAAGAATTTTGTCGCCCTATCAGCAAAAATTCTTTCAACTCATAAAACTTTAACTCATGTATTCCAGTGAAAAATAGATCAGCTTTACAACCACATAATACCTTGTTTCTTCAACTTCATCAGCTGTTGCCCATGGACTGATTGGCTTGGATCCTTGAAGAGTTACGTGAGGTTGGAAGCGAAGCACTAGCGGACTTGGAGCGAATGATCCAACAGTTGGTAATGTGGAACTGAGCGGTTCATCTCTATCGACTCTGAAACATCTCGCACTTCGAAGGATAACGATTTCAGACGTTCGACTTCTTTTATAGCCGCTTGGGAGTACAAAACCCCTTCCGCAGCGCGTAATCTTCTT